TACTATAAATAAAGCAGCTATAATATACTCTCCCGATTATATAAGCCAATAAGTAGTATATTAATTATAGACAAAATCTCATCCTATAGAGCAAGAATCGCTCGTCATTTTGCATGTCATTATGCATTAAACGGGTTGCTGGTTATCGTACAATCGGGAATCGAAGGAACAGAGCTAGCTTGGAATGCTAGCTAAGACCTCTCAAGAACACCGCACGACCAACCTCCTCTAAACACGAATATCAGTAGAACCAAGACACTTCCAGATTCACTCGAGATATCACGGAATTCCTCAGTCTCAGGGCCATACGGCAGCCTAAATCTGGTCCCGAAAGGTTCTTCCGTTCAGCTACAATTGTCTATATAAGACAGCATGTCCGCTGGTAGATAGATAGAAAATCATCAACTTCAACACCTCTTCCACACACCAATACACTACCAATAAATTCCGTTGAAAATCCTACCTTATACTCCTTCTTCCCCTCTATCACGTAGTCTTACGTGATTTCTTGATTTCCCAAAATTCCGCTTTTGCTCATATACCTTAAGAATAGTAGACCTATTCCTCTTAGTAAGGAAAGCTAACTTCTTAAGAGATTCCTTCCTAAGGATAGGTCGGAATTCGAGAATAAATTAACCGAATTTTTCCTCGATAAGCCTAATAGTCTAATTCTTCTAGACTAGCCTCGTAGGCTTAGACGTTATATCCTAGAAGATTCCTTCCTCTCGAAGAAGGCGGAAGGAAATTAGGCTCGTTAAAAATCGAGGGCAAAAAGCTACCCTTTTTCGTCGTAGAATTCGTAAAGACCTATTAGGTAATTTTATCGTAAAATTTACACTTCCGTATCCCTCTATCCATACGGTTAATTCCCCGGTAATAAGGTATTCCCTCCATGCCTTCTTAAAGGACCGGAATCGTAAGAGTATATTATAAATATCGAGGGAAGCACTAGAGTTAAGGATAGCTGATTTTCGTAGGGGATAATCGGAGGGCTCTAACGGTTAGTCTTAGCCTTATTAATCCGTAGGAAAGACGAAGGCCGGATTTACTATACTAACGATTTTTCCTCGAATTTACGGCTCGAATAAGGGTAGCGGCGTTAGTTACTGTTTCTTAGTAACCCGAATCTCGTCTATCTTCTTCTATAGTAAGGGGTCCCCCTTAAGAGACTATTATATCGTTTCTTATAGCCTCTTTAAAGGGTTAAATTATTTAGGTCGGTTTTCCTTAAAGACCTACTAGTATTATAATAATCGATAGCCTAGGGATTTATAGGCTAGGCAGCCGTTTCGCTTAGTCTTTCGTTTCTTTAAGGAATCCTCGTCCCGATCTAGAAGGTCTGCTTAAAAACCTCCCCTTTACCCTTATGCTGATTTTAACGAAGAGGTTCGATTTCGACTAGTTCCTGATTTTTTAACCAACGGACTAAAAGGTCTATTAAGGGACTAGTCGGGCCGGTCTAACTAACGGGACCGGGGCCGGGCCCGGAGTAAGAGGCGGAGCCGGGACCGGGGCAGCCGTTAAAGACGGGGTTAAGGCTCTCGAGGGAGGAGGAGCCAAAGAAGCAACAGCCGTAGTAGCAGCAGCGGGAGCCGCAGCAGCAGGGGCTGCAGCAGCTGTAGGGGCAGTAGGTCGAGCCGTCTAGGTCGAGTGCTAGCTACGAAGGAATAAGACTACTTACTATTATACTCTAGCAGCCTCTTCGTCTAGTTCCCGGCTAGCCTCTTAAAAGATAGTCGAGTAACCGTTACTAATAAGCTTTATTAGTAGAGATATATCCCGTAGCTACTAGCCGGAAAGAGCTTCTATAAAGAAGTATTAGTTAGCTTCCTCGAGGATTTCTTCCTACTTAGCTAGCTACGAAGAAGCTAGTAGGTTCCTAGTAGAAAAAGCTCTTAGGTAGGCCGTATAAGTCTTCCTAATACGGTTAGTTATATAACCTCTCGAGGGCGCTATTAAGTTCTCGAGCTTTAAAAACTACTGCCTAGGAGTCTCTTCCTCTCGAAGAGTAATTAGCTTTATAGCACTAACGGATTCCGTTATTGCCGTGCGTGCGGTAGTTAGCAGGTTCGTCTCGTAAAGGTATTCCTTACGGTAACTCTTATAGTTACCTAAGGTAGTAGAAAAAGCTCTTTACTATGCGGAGGTTAGCTCGGAGAAGAGGGATACTCCCTCTATAAATTCCGTTGCCCTAGGACGAAGAGGGGGCTCGAGAGGGTCCTACTTATTAGAGAAGACTAAATTATAAATAGTTCTATCTATACGAGCCCGTAGCTCCTTTACCTACTTATCCTAATCTTAGGGTTCTATAAGAATCGTCTTATAGACCGTAGGGACGGTAAAGGAGTCGGTTTTCGTTATTATTACGGGGAAAGGTAGAAAAGTCGGTTAAAAATCGGCTTTTCTAGTAAGAGGGGTAAAAGGAAGCTACGAGGGATATAAGAAAGGTGCCTTTTATAGTAGCCGGAAGGTATTGGAATTCTATTCCTCCTAGGCTTATAACTCTCGCGAAGAGAGATACGAGAAGTATATAAAAATACACGAAGGTAAAATTAGAAGTAAGGGGTCGGATAGGTAGGGTAGAGAAATTTAATTCTTACGGGAGCAGTAATTACGGTAGGGGAGTAATTATTATATTGCCTTAATTCTCTTTCTTTCCTCTATCTAACGCCCCTCTTTATACCTATCTAGCATCTTAATTAATAAAGAAGATCCTACTTAAAGAAGCTACTAATATACTTTCGACTACTAAGCTTTTTGCTGGTTTTTCCCTTCCTTTCTAGCCGTTGCCGGCATATCCGTCTTATCTTTCGCTACCTCTATAGGAAGCTATCGCTACTTCTGCTTCCTATCTTACCCCTACCCTCCTCTCTATACCTTCTTTTAGCTCCTTCCTTAAAACCTGTTTTTTTAGCTTCCTAGGTCCCTCGTGCTAAGGGATATCTCTAAGAACTACGAAATTAGGCCACGCTTCGCGACAATTATATCTACTACTCTTAGGGAAATCCTTTGTCTTTTATAGACTATTGCTCGCCGAATAGTAAACTAATTAGTTAGCTTTCTAGTATATTCTATAGTACTTAAAAAGCTCTATTTATAGTTTATCTTCTTAACTTAGTAGGTGGTCTAATTTAAGCGTAATAGTTAACGTAAAACTATAGGTTCTAGTATAAGTAGTAGATTTAACTAGAATGTTCTATGCCCTACGTATTCTTATATCGCGGATATCTTTAGAACCGCTAGGCTAAAATAGGTAATAGGGTCTTTATTCTACTCGTAATTACCTTATGCATTTTATATATATTATTATTTATTAGGATAAGCTTATCTTAACCCGCTTTTCTTAAAGAAAGGTATAGATATTTAATAGTAGTCTTTTATCTTTAAGGGTTATTTCCTTAGACTATATTATAGAGCCTCTTTTTACTAGCTTATTTTATAGAGCCTCTATATACCTATTATCTCTTTATAATAGTAAAATAGGAATATAAGGGTATATTCTTATAGTTATATACCTAGGAGGCCTACTAGCTATAACGCTAGAGTTAGTTTAAATCTAGCTAAGAGCACGATTAATTTTTAGTTAGACTAATAAACTATACTAGCTAACTTATTAATTAGCTAATTAGCGCTTTTAGAAACGCTTATAAATATACTAGTAGTCTAGCCCCGCTATAAGTAGGCCGGCCCGGACCTAGCCACCTAGACCTATCGATAAATTTATTAGGACCTCCCCTTAACCCCGCGGGGTCCGGGCCCCCTAACTAGGAAAATAAAAAACCTAGGGCCGATACTAGTAACTTAATAAGTACGGCGTAAAGCTAGTATAATAACCCGCTTACTAGCCCGGCTAAAGGCCGGCATTAATAAAATTAGCCCGCTAAGCCTTATAGCGGAAAAATAAAGTAAAGCCTAGGAAGATATTATTATAGGATAAGGTTAAAGATAATTATATAATTAACTATTAATTAAAAACGCTTATACTACCGATTAACGCTATATACCCCGCGTATATAAAGGAGTTACTTTCTAAGGTTACTTTATAGTAGGGCTAATATAATTTTAACTAACTATAATAATACCTAAGATAGCCGGCGTAAGATTCCTACGTATTATAACCGCGACCTAGTATAAGGGCGGACTAGCGATAAAAAGAAGGGATGGTTTTCCTCTAAGTACTTTAGTTTTTCCCTCCTATTTAATACCGAAGTTCTAGATACCTCTAGATAGGTTACTAGTAATCTTAATAATAATAATAATAATAATATATTATCTTTTATCTTAATATCCTTTAAGTCTTAGTCTTAGGTCCCGGGCCTTTCTTTTAAGGTCTTTAAAAGGTATTAGCCTTTTAAAGCTTCTTCTAAGCAAGCCCTAGCTTCTAGGGTGCTTATTTCGGCCCTTAGGTTAAAGGGGGGGGGGGGAGGTCTAGGCCGGGGTCCTAGGTCGGGTCCGGGCTAGGTCCCGTTAGCGGGGGGCATACACCCTTAGTTAGCGAGGGCGGGGAAGAGTTTTCTACCCGTATAGGGGAGAACCTCGCCTAATTCGCAATCTTCGGCAGCATAATGCGCACCCGCTAGTAGCTGCGCGAGGCTGCACTTAGGGGGGCGTAATACGCTATTCGCGAGGGTTCTAAGCGTATGCTTTTTCCATTTTTTAGGCCTGGTTTCGAAAAGCTGGCTGGATAGACGTGATGAGGCATTCCCTCGAGGCTACTTCGTAGTGCTTTACGTGCCATCTTTAGCTTCGTCTATTTCTTTCGCCAGTCACGCCCATGTCAAGAGGCCGCGGTTGGCAGCCTCTGTTCCCCTTTTCTTCCTCTTCCACTACTCATCCTACTACTTCCACTGCCCCCGCGACCGTGAGCTTGCGCCAAGAAACAGCACAAGAGGTTCATCCACTTCAGCGACGAACCTCGACAACCTCGACAGCCACCTCGCGCGAATCGCCTCGACACCCTTGGTCCCGTCAGCTTGACATCCTCGGCTTGTGCGAACCAAATGACGGACCCAACCAAGGCGCACGAGCCAGTCTATTTCTGGAAAGATTTGGATGGCGAGACGGGCTGGCTCTGTCAGTGGTACTACCACCCCTTTCGAGACGACGAGGTCCCGGAGAGGCTCTACTACACGGCCGAGCAGTAAGCACTCACCGCTTTCCAGTTCTACGTGATGCTAAATTCCTGTCGCATCATACAAGCTGACTCCATGTTGAACAGCTACATGATGTACCAAAAAGCAAAGCTCTTTGGCGATGATAAGACGGCCGCCGAGATACTGCAGACCAAGCCGCCTGGCAAGGCAAAGGCCCTCGGCCGCAAAGTCCCCAACTTCAACCAGGCCACCTGGGAGGCCAAGCGCGAGGACATAGTGCGCAAGGGCAACCTGCTCAAGTTCAGCACGCCGCCCCCCCCCCGAGCCGGCCGCGGCTCCATCCAAGCAGCCCGCCGTCGAGGGCTCGCTGCGCGAGATGCTGCTGCGCACGGGAGACCGGGAGCTGGTCAAGGCGAGTCCGTTTGACCGCGTGTGGGGGGTCGGGTTCAGGCCAGAGGAGGCGCCTGCGAACCGTGGCCAGTGGGAGTTGAATCTGCTCGGCAAGGCGTTGACTGACGTCCGGGCGGCTCTCTGGGAGCAGGAAGAGATGAGATGACTATGTTGTGGGACGAGGCAGCTTAAGGACTTGTGTCGGTCATTAGGCTCAAACGCCCGCATCACCGCATCAACACCCACAGACAAGAGGTTCTAATGCGGCGAGGCACTTGTGACGTGTAGTTTCTTTCAAGCAAATAAAGTGTCTGTCCACAGCAGTCATTGATGGATGCATGCCCCCGCTATGAAGTTGTTTATGAGGCTTACAATTAGGACCTGCAGAATGGCTGCTGTTAAGCGTTCTGTCGGTTATACCTCCGGTGTAGGTACTGCATGTAGGATCTAGGCATAACAGGTGCTCTCCCTTGACATGGAAAAGCTGCCAACTCCTATCAATTGCCGTGGAAGGATGGGGTTCTTGCTTTTAAGTTTCACAACACTGTGTCTGTGCTTAACTTGGTCTTCCCCCTCCTCCCTGCTCTCTTCCCCATCCACTCCCCCTCCGCCTGGCTGGCTAGGAATTTAAGGGGAAAATAGTATCGGTACGGAGTTTCCATGCAACGTCTCTCTATAAGGACCCCGAAGCTGAAACCATGTCCATGACCACGGTACTGTCGATGTTCGCGCACACGTACCCAAGGTAGCGTTGGCTGAAGTGCGTCTCGAAGAGGACGCGGTGTGGCAATGCATGTTTGTCATTTTCTCACTGACAACTCCGAGACGCCTCGTCTCCCACTTCTTCTCTCCGACTAAATACCCACTATTCCTCATCCGCCCATGTCGGATCAATTTCGATCTCCTCAATGCCAACACTGCCTTGAGAATTTCGAGAAAGAAGCTCTCTATCAAGAACCTCGAATGACTTTTCCAAAAATCTCTTCTCGCCCGGGATGTCGATGCCTATTGATGACCCTGCGTTTACCATCTCCTCGAAGCAGCTTTTGGCGGGCTTCGCAACTTGGTCGCAACCATGGCGGTACAGCTCCCCCAAGCGTCGTCTCCAGAACAACCACCTCGCCAGACTAAAGCCTTGGTTCGTGATGCCGGCCTCAGTTGCAAGAGGTCCCGGAGAAGTCGAGTCCTGGTCGTCGTGGCCCGAGGCAGGGTGGTAGTTTTCGACGGACAGTTTGGCAAGCTTGATCTTGCCGTACTTGAACCATTGAAGACAGGCGAGAAGCATGTCGGCGATGGGAGGTTTGGACTTGTTGGAGGTGCCTTCTTCAGAAAAAGAGGCGGTCTGGGGCCTTTCCGTTTCCAGCGCTTCCTTGAAGAGCCAAAGCGCACAATGGGCCAGGTCGGCAGCACAAGCCCCAGCGGCGTAGAGCTTGCTGGTAAGAACGGCAAGGCTCTGCCGCTGGGGGGCTGCAAATGCCATGGATTCATTTGTCCAAGATTCGTAGAGCTCGTCGGCGAGGTAGGGGAGATCAATCCACAGTCGCTGGCCGTTGGGCATGATGGCCGCTTCATTGGAGGTGGCGTCGTCATGCTTTCGGGCAAGCTGCCCGAGCTCTCGAAGCTCGAGAATAAGCGTAACAAGTCGATCAATCTCAGCATCAGCAAAGGGGATAATCTTGGCGGCATGGATCACCTCGTCCCATGCGTCGTGCAGTTTCTCTTCAATGCTTGCAGTATCGGCGTCGAAGGCGAAATAGTTGAAGCCGATACTGAATAGATCATCACGGAGGCCTTGGCAGGTGTCTTGAGCATTGGCTGGGTCATGTTCGAACTCTTTGCGCTTCTCGTCGCGACTCAGGAGTCGAATGTCACAGCAACCGGTAGCACAGTCAGCCATGTCGACGTTTGCAGAATGCGAGCGGGGTAAACAGAGTAAAGCAAGGGCAGATGGATGATGGCAGACGAGACTGCGGTTTGCAGAGTGAAGGATGACGGCTTCTTCTGCTTCAGCGACAGAACCTAAGGCCGCCGCCTAGACACGCGTTCTCACAATGCCGTTGGTTGTCGATGCTACAGTACAGTCACACTGTGTGTTGGGAAGCCAGGCAGAGAGAGCATTGGTTAATACCACAGTACATATGTAACACTTCCGGTGCGTTGTACGGAAACATCCCCCCCTACACCAACCAAACCTGCCTCACCCCGCCGCCTGAGCAACACAGCAGGAGAGGGTTGGTCCAGCCGACACTGCGCAGCCGGGAGCATCCAATGGCTTCGGCCCAAAAAACATGGCCAACGGTGCAGGCAGTGCAGCTGGCCGAAGCGCCACTGCCCCTCCCCTTTAATGCGGAATATCCCAGACTCATATGCTGGGCGCCACAAGGCCCCCCCTTCTAGTACATATGTCGTAACCTATAATGTAGGCACCAACCTGCAGGAGATGCGATATGCTCTGCCATAGATAGGTACTGATTCGTGGGCATCGTTACAAGTGACATAGCGGTGGCTGCTCCCGCGTACTCAAAGGGATATGCCGGTTAGTCCGTCCCCAACTTATTCGCCCCCCGGCGGCGCCACCGTTGGTTCTGAACCTTTGCAAGACTGGCTCTGAATCCGACTTGACAACATGATAGCGGGCTAGGTCGACTATTGTAAGGAGGCACCATGTCGCATATTCATCGTGTCCTTTTCAGGGAAAGCCGACCAGGTAATGACCAACATCTTGCTGCAGTACCATCTGCGATCCATGTGAGTTCAACCTCCGACACACCTGTTCCGTATGTGTCTTCACGGCTGGGAGCTCGATGCAGCTTCCCGGAGCCGCATGTCTTCTTTTGCCAGGTTCCGTAACCTCTTTTCATCGTGTGTGTTTCCGAGCCCCGAACGGACACACTACCCAGTATAAGAGACTAGACCCTTCCGCTGCTTTCTCTTCTCCACATTCCTGGACAACTGAGCTGCATCTGCTCGCATATACTTGTTCATACGATCTTCCTGCCTTGAAAATGAAGCTGTTTGTCAACATCCTGCTCCTCGGAGTCCTAGCGACCCCAATCCTGTCCACAGCCATTCCCGAAATGGGAGAAACTGTTGTCACTCGTGGCGAAGATGCCTCGGGCCTTGTTGCAAGGAAGGTAAGCGCCTCTCCCATTCGTCTTTGCAGACGCGCTTCAATGCTGTGAAGATCAGGTCAAATGCTGACCGACTTATTTTTCAAGGTTTGCACTGGAAAATGCAACATAAACGGGTGCCACTGTACCAGGCCTGTTCGAGTCTGCCCTTTCCCGAAGAAGGACATCGGCAAAGCTTGCAAATGTAAGTAAAGCAGAGGGCCTCGCAACCATCACTTTCTCTACAAGGGTATATCGACTTTGGACGGTTCATGTAATAAACAAGCACTTTACTTCTTTAGCTCTCATTGGAAACAGGACAGTCTCTCCTATGTTGAGCTTGCCATCCTTGAGTAGAACATGTAGCCTTTCAATAATGACAACTTAACAGAGACGCTTCGTTCCCAGCACTTCGGGAATGTGAGTGGGATGATGATGAAGTTGGTGCTTCTTCGATTTCTGACGACTAATCTCGCCGAGCCTTCTGCAATTCTTCCAACCGTAGGAATCGTCCTTGGCAACGTCGCTAGTTGGGGTATGCTCAATCGCATGAGTGAGTTCATGAAGCAAGGTTGCGTCAAACGTCAAGGTAGTGTCTATTGCAGTGCGGAGTGGATCATTAAACTGGGCCCTGATTGTCGAGCACGTTTTCGTACCCGACCTCCACATCTGCTGAAGCCGCGTTTGCCACCGAGCTATTCTTGCCTGGCTTTATTCCCCGAGTTATGTTGTAGAGAATAGCTTGCAGTCCATAAACCACCGTGCAGCGCGAGCTGCATGATAGATATGAGCAGGCAAGATCTAAGGGTGAACAGGAGTGCGCACCACACGCTTGTTATGACTCCCGCTCGCTCTCCAGCGCGCCTTACCCAAGCAGGACATCACAGCCGTAATTAACACATTATTACGTCTTCTCGGCTAACTTTTCGAAACCAAGCGTAAAACACGAAAAAAGCATACGCCTAGAACCGTCGCGAATAGCGTATTACGCCCCCTTAAGTGCAGCCTCGTATAGCTACTAGCGGGTGCGTAATATACTACTAAAGATTGCGAATTAAGCGAGGTTCTCCCCTATATAGGCAGAAAACTCTTCCCCGCCCTCGCTAACTAAGGGTATATGCCCCAACTTAGACCCTAGCCTAGACCCCCAAGGAGGCCCCTTAACTTTAACCCCCTTAACCTAAGGGTCGAAATAGGTACCTTAGAAGCTAGGGCCCGCTTAGTAGAAGCTTTAAAAGGCTAATGCCTTTTAAGGACCTTAAAAGAAAGGCCTAGGACTTAATACTAAGACTTAAAGGATATTAAGATAGAAGATAATACTTAGCTTATACTAAATACTAGCCTTTTTAAGCCTAGCCTAGCCCTACCTTAGGCTAGCTATATCTAGCCTAACTAGCCCTTAAAGTAGGTAAAGGAGTAAAAGAGAGCTACTCTTAGTAGCCTTATTAGTTTTATACTTATCCGACCTATATTTTAATACTTATAGTAGACCTAGCCCCGGCCTTAGTACCTTTTCCCTAAGGACTAAGCTTAAGGGTTCCTTTAGTAGGCTACCTAGGCCCTTAAGGAAGCCTAAAAAATTAAAACCTTTTATATAACCCTTATAAAAAGGCTTAAGAAGATAGCTATAAGGACCCTAGACTACTAATAGCCCTTATAATAGCCCTTATACTAGCCTAAGGCCGCTTAGTAGTTTTTTTTTTTTATATTATTACTTATATATAGCCTCTAGGGCTATAGCGAGGCTAGTAAGGGCCTAGGCCCCTATTAGTAGTCCTAGCTAGCTATAGAGCCCGGGGGCTTATAACTAATTAAGGAAAGGGTAGCTATAAAGGCAATAATAAAGGAAAGGTTAGTCTAGTTCCTCCCGCGCGGTGATTTTCCCCCTTAAGGGCCCTAGGGCCCCTAGGTTACTCCTTTTCGAGCTACTTAGCTATCCCTATCTCTATTTTAGCTAAGAAGGTTAAAAGGGCTTCCCTTCCTTCCTTAGAGCTATAGAGAATAGGTAGGCTAAGGGCCCCCTTCCGTCTCTTAGAGGTCTAGTAAAGGACCTCTCTTTCCCTCCTATAGTTCGGGCACCTTAGGATAAGGTGCCTAGCCGTATGCCTTCCTTAGCCGTAGCGGTAGTTATCTCGGTCTACCTTATTAGTCCTTTTTAAGAAGGAAAATAAGAAGCCGGCCTTAAAGAGGAGCTAGTAGAAGGCTAAGAGGGTCGGCCTAGGCCTCCCTATAAGGTCCTTTTCTAGGCTAAGGTAATATCTATAGCTAGGTCTAAGAAACCTATAACCTTCTTTATAGCGGCTTAGCTATCTATAAAGATATAGGTATCTATAAGGGGGTTAAGAGGGCTAAGCTTTAAGGGCTAAGGCCTCTTAGCTAGGTCCTCTAAGACCCTTAGTATCGCGAATAGCTCTACGTTAGCTACTTCGATTAAGGGCCCTAGGTTCTCGTAGTACGCCTTAATAAGCTTATTTTCTAGGCCTATTTCGTAGAAAGAGTAAGCGTTAGTCTTTATAAGGGACCCCTTAGGGCACCCCTTAGAGCCGTTAGTATAGAAGGCTAGGGGCTATAACCTAAAGTCTTTTAAGCTAGCTAGGCTAGCTAAGAGGCATTAGTATTACTTCTTAGCTAAGGGCTTAGGGGCCTCTATTATTATAATAAAGGCCTTAGGCTCTAGGGCCTATAGGGGCTCCTAGCTAGCTTTCTTTCTTTCTAAGTTATAATTAGGTCCTATAAGGGCTACTAGGCCTTTAAGGAGGTAAAATAGCTATATATATAGCCTAATATAGCTTAGGGCCCCTAGGTTAGAGCCCGAGTTAGCGAGGTTATCCCGTATAGCTAGGTCGTAAGCCTGCCTTATAGGGTAACTAGGTAAGAAGTATAGGGTCTAAAGGGCGTAGGAGAGGCATACCCTTTTAAATCGTACCTCTAGTAGCGGCAGGGCCGCTTTAGCTTCTAAAGCCTTAATAGGGGATCCTTAAAGGCCCCTAAGACCTTTAAAAGAGCCTAGTTTTATAGCCTTTAAAAAGGCTTTATAAGGCTCTTAGGGATCTTAGGCCCCCTATACTAAAGTTAGGCCCTATAGTCTACTATAGAGGTTATATAGGCTTAGTAGAGCTATTTAGAGGCTCTAAATAATAGGCCTTTTTACGTAGAGGTTAGGCGGGATAGTCCTTTAAAAGTAGCTTATACGGATGCTACCTTTTTCTCGATATATTATTTAAATAGGAGCTTAGGATTAAAGAAGACCCCTAGCTACTATATTAAGGGCTTTGCTTTAAAAAATAGGCCTCCTACTATTATACCCTTTAAAATAAGCTGCCGTTGCCTACTAAAGTAGATAAGTTCTATCTTTAAGGGGTCGAAGTAGACCCCTTAGTCTTTAGCTTATTCGAATAGGTTAGCAGCTATTACTTCTAGCTACTAAACGTTCTTCTTAGCTAAGGTTAATGTTATAGAGATACTAAAGTTATTTATATAAGATAGCTAGTATCCCTTAGCCGCTAGTATCCCCCTTATATATAAGAGGAATAAAATAGGGCTAATAGAGGACCCTTAGGGCACCCTTATTACTAGGTCTATAAGGGGCTAGACTTTCCCCTCGAAGGCTAGCTAGATCTTCCTTTCGGTAAGGAAGTAGTCTACCTAGCTTATAAGGGCCTTAGGGAGGTTTAATTCCCTTAGGACCCTTATAAGCTATTCCTTCGATACGAAATTAAAGGCGCCCTTTATATCTAATAAAAGGGTACTAGTAATAGCCTTCTTATTAGACTCCCGCTTCTTTTAG